TGAGGAAATTGATCGTCAACGATAACGTTTTTTTGCCTTTCTTCTTTTTGGCTGTAAAACAGTGTTTGCCACCTTTTCTCTTGAAGGAAAACATCTTTGTTTGGCAGCAAAAACAATAGCTTGCGTCAACGTGTAAAAAGTTTGGGATCAATTGTCAGTTTAACGAATAAAGTTTACTTTTTATGTATAAGGCATCACCTTTAAACCTTTAAGAAAAAAAAAANAAAAAAAAAAAAAAAAAAAAAAAAAAAAAAAAAAAAAAAAAAAAAAGGAAAGGAAAATCCCCAACTATTCATAAACTCGTATTTCTCCATGACATAGCCCAACGTATTTACCGTAAAAGGAGTACTCTCCCAGCGAAACCGGCTAGAAAAAGCTGTGTCGAGTTCACTTTTTTTTTTTTTTTTTTTTTTTTTTTCACATCGTGTTTTCGCGGAGCACGAATACTCTGGGCCGCTGAATATTTAATACAAGCTTATGTACGTGCGTATGTATATGTACATACATATATACTTTTGTACGTAGAGGACTAATCCAATAGCCGTGGGGCAGCAACTTAGCCTGTACATACATGCACTATATACATGGGTCTGTAGATCCAGGAATCGAGAGCTCCGTGCTGGGTGCATTATATTACCCAAGTCGTCCATTCAATCAGATCGTCTCGGCTATCCGTTTCCCCTCTCCCACATACATTAGCCTTCCCAACACGTTGGCTGGCACGTGTATACACACGTACAGTACACATACACATTATAGGGCGGAGAACTGGAGTGTACGGTGTACTTAGCGTTTCTCAAAGGTACACGCGTACACCTTGCCCAGCTCGCAAATACACACGCATCCGTTTTACGCCGCTGATTAATATCGCTCGTACTACTTGTGTATTAACAACGGATAGGCACGGTAGGGGTGGGTTGGCGGTGCGCCTGCGGGCATCTCGTATACCTGCAATTGGTGTGGTACGAGAGTACAAAGCAAAGCTCAAGACCGCGGCTATATCGTGCATCATGCCGGTATACGCACGTCGTTCAGTTAACTGCGCCAATGGCTAGGTTGACTCGGTAACGCTCGGATCTGTGTATGCGCAGTGGAGTACCGATGCACCCAAAGATACACGCGTAAGTAAAGTAAACTAACGCCCGGCCAATCGATTTGGCACTGATACTGTATACGTGTAATTGCAGCGCAATAAGCCAAGCGAACTATCATTGACGAGGCTTTTACACATCGGGCTTCCGTTTCTTGATTTACCCGATCAGTGAAGTGCATGGCTTGCGTCCGTATAAAAAACAAACCCACCCCACGGGGTTTTCCCCATCCTAACTCATGTCCAAACCCCAAACGTTGTTTACAACAACACGCTGTAATTCATAATGTCACCGTTCGATGGGAAATCCATCCTCTCGGCGGAGGAAGTAAACGTCTCCGGCCTCGGTGAGGCGCACGAGAGGCAAAGCCAAGCGAGAAAACGTCTCGGTTGTATGCGCAGCCACGTTCGGCATCGCCGGCAGAGGAAATCTTTATGCGCGTCACCGCGCGGGTTTCGGTGGCCGAGTCAACACGATGAAGAGAGCGCCCAAACCCTACTATATCGGCGAGAGAAGAGCTCAAATCTTCGAGTTCTCGGCTGATGCATGGCCACTTGCTTATTTTCATCGGTAGTTTATGAGGAAATTCCCGCGCGTGGTACAGCCTACTTTTGAGATTATGTGTGAAATATTGTACTCCGAACTGTGTTTTCCTCGTTTTGGCGCTAACGTGTTTTCACAAGCTATGTTTTCTACTAAATCTCCATACCCCCACACTCTGACTCTTCTCGATCGTTAAAGTATACATATTTTCCTACAAAAAACAAATAATATAAAAATACCGAAGTAAAAGTCCCTTCGTTCTCCAGTCAATTTTGAAAAGTATCGGCAGTAAGCTAAGCCAGTGTAGCTGCTGCTGTTGCCCCACCCATGGAAAAAGCACTCGTGGTGCGTTTAAGCGCCATCTCTCGATTTAGCCATGTAATTTTACGCGAAGTTTTCTTGTACACGCCTCATTTATTCGCGCCTGTGAGCAGATCTGGGGACCGTGGAAGTAGAAGACTTGGTTTCGTGGAAATATCTTCCTTTATTCTTTTTTTTTCCCCGTTCATCCGTCATCGCTGAAAAAGTCGGAAAGAAAAAAACAGAGAGGGAGTCTGTAAATGAATAACAGCGCGCGGAGAACGGAACAGAAGACGCCGAGGGAGGAAAAAAAGATGCCGTCATTCACTCTCGCGCTCGCGACCTGAAAGACTCGTGAAAGCTCCTTGAGCCATGTATACGTGAAGAGTGTTCTTAAAGGCTTTCCACGGGAATCCAAAGAAGAGCGTGATAAAACGTTTGCATGCGCCCACCCCCTGCCCCTTTGCCCCGCTCCCCGTCATCTTTCCTTTTATTTATTTCCTTTCCTTTCGACACGCGCGCCTTGCCGACCTTAAACTCTTGTCTGCTCCGTTTGGATCTATTGTTTTCCATTTTACCACGAGTTTGATTTGTTTTAACCTTTGGGATGAAATTTCAACTGATATCGGCACGTGTTAAGTGTAAAGTAGTACAGGTACGCGTATGGTCAGCCGCATGATTAAACATTTCTACGATTTGGGAACCGATTAATTAAACTTTTTCCACTTTCCTAAATGTAATTTATTACTACGAGAAACGATTGTGATTGGCAGTGATATTTCATAAAAAGCCAAGTTCCAGGTTAACTGTGACGCAAAACCTGGCAACTACGGGAAACTCGAGTATATTTTACGAGAACAAAGATCAAGCCCTGCTCATCGAGAGCCTCTGATAAATCCCGGCAAGACGCGTCTTTCTCCTGCATAACGAGAGTCACGATGTACACCCACCGTCGCTGGATTTCATTTTGAAAAGCCCTTCCTTTTATAATTTAATTGGATGATGCAAGATAGGGAGCTTTATGCTTCCACCGTATTCTCCGGATAAGTGGCTCTTCGTCAGCTGGCATATGCGATGCTGCAAAGAAAACAATGTTCTAGATGCCATAGTAATAAAAGCAGTGGGTGTATACGTGTACATGCACCCACTGCACGCTATAACGCCAAAATAAAGCGGATGCACGGTATTGGTTGTTGCAGGAGCTTTATCGTGCCGGTGACGAGGAGTAAGGGCCGTTTCAGTGCGTGAATTTTATACCAAAACAAAATCAATTTACGTTATCGTTATCATAGTCATGGATAAAGTTTATTATTAGTGGATTAGGAACACATTATTACCTTGGGCTCTGCTCGATATTCTGATAGCTTGTGTACATAGCTTCCGTTTGAAACAGTATATATATGCATATTATGTGTGTGCGCGTCTGGAAATTTTTCCGCGACGCAATTTCAAGCGCAAACAAAAGCAGCTCCGAGGCACCTTTTCAATGTGTACTACGCTCTCGCTTACATAAAGAACGAATCAGATAGGCAAATGGAGCTTCGTTGTTTTACGATATTGTTATTTAGCGAAAACAACGCGTTATCGTAAACAGACGTGAATTATCAAACTTTCGGCGAATAAAAGTCTTAAAAAAATGTTTCAACGAAGTGCCGGTCAATCAAGTGAGTTTAAAAATCAAGTACAAGTAACGATGCGAATGCCGAAAGCTGTCCAGTAGCGAAGGATCGTGAGCGTGGGTTCGGTGGCCCGCTCGAAAAAAGAAAGAGGTCCACTGTCAGCTCCGTGGAGAACAAAGCAGCGGCAGCAGCTCGAGCGGAGAGCTTTTTCCCGCGAATTAGCCGAGAGGCAAAAATGAGGAGGCTCTTTCCGCCCGACCAGTCTCTGCCAAGTCCAGGAGCCCCGGCGCGGTGTCCGGCTTGATTTATACGCACCGCGAGTACTTTAAAAGTCGGGCGGAGAGCAAGAGAGAGACAGAGAGAGAGGAAGCAGCGCGTAAAAAAGAAGGACGGCGCGTTAAAGTTGCATTAAAGTAAAAGTAACCTCCGCGCGGATGGCTCTCGGCCACTCGCATTGTATTAAGAGGAGAGAGCCCGACTGCGGTGCTAGACGTTAAGAGAGGGGGCGAACGAGCTTTTGCGTTTTGTGTATGCTCGAGCGAGACTCGGCCGAGTAGAAGACAAAAATTAATATGATCACCGTGCAGACACATTTTTCCTTGTGACATCTTCAATGGGTACATACGAGAGAGCTTTCATTTTAGAAAAATTAATTTACAAATTTGTCGTTTTTAATCGACATGTATTGTATGATACACGAATATTTTTGATTTAATCATCGATAATATTTGAAAAAAAACTTGATTTTTCTGATAAATACTAACGAGGCGAGCTCTTTCATTTGGTATAAATTTTTTCGTGGCAGGTTAAATGAAGAAGTTCGATAAAAAACTCGACGCGCATCGCCATTAATTATCAGCGATGGCTGTTTGACCAACGTGTAAACATTCAAAGGACGTGCGTCTGTGAGAAAGTGGGCGAGTGACAATCTCTGTAAATATTTGTCGTCTTTTTTTTCCGAAACACAGTTGAAAAAAAAAGCTGCAAAAAGAAAGGGAAACGTGAAAAACACACGAACGGACGCGCGTGTCGGACGTGTGTATTTACAAGTTTAAAGAGCGACACGGGCGTCAAAGAGACACCCGTTGGCACTGACGGGATAATTAACTCGAAGGTAAATCCGGAACCATGCACGAGGGGGTGAATTTACTTTTTTTTTACCCCCCTTTGTTTTTCACCCCTCTACTCGTGTACACTACAAGCAGCTTTGCCGGAAAAGATAAGCTGCCGATGATTAAGTGCTACAAGTGTCGCTCTACTACTTTCATGTGCACCTAAACAATTTTATACTAGTTATCATAGTTATAACCACCGTTATTAATAATCATCACAGCGAAATTGACACTCTCGAAACTTAAACAATAATAATAACAACAATAAAATGAGTATAATTCAGTTGTCTGAGCTTGAAAGCGGATAGTGTATCCCTGCGTTCTGTCTGTTGCAGCGTGAAAACCGACATGGGCGCCGAGGGGGCGGTCTCGCGGCTGTACATAGCCAACGCCCACAGAAACGACAGCGGCAACTACAGCTGCACGCTGGTGGATGTTGCCAGCACCACTGTATCCGTCCACGTTTTAAACGGTCAGTATATTCCAATATTATTCACCTCCCGACTCACCTACCCCCTCAACCTTCCATTATCCCTATTATCCGCGTGCCCCCCCCCCCCCCGTACGTTTTCCTCTTGCATAATGCATGGCCTACCACTACTCGGCTGTTTTTGAAATCAACGGCTATTATGACCCTAGAAACTCTTTGATTTTCCACGCATCGTCCATTTATAATGTTTAACACCTCGTGACAAAGAACCACAGCCCACGGCCACTCCTGTATAATCCAGATTACGAAAACTAATGGCCGATCAAAGATAACGCGAGGATAAAAAAAAAAGAAGCATCCATGAGCTAATTTAGCGTTCGCGCGCACGCGGTGCATGTAATCACTCAAGTGTACTTTATGCCCTGTTTCGGAGAGCTCGGCCTCTTTGTCTCTCTCTTAGTGTATACATTATTGCACCACCACCCACTAGCACTAACAAACTACCCGAACTGTACACGCTCGAGCGATAAAATAGAGACGATGGCGCAGCTATACATTTCCTCGGAGCTCCGCGTATATATACGCGTGCACATACAGCCCCGCGCGTGCGATTTTCTCACTCCTTCTGCTCGGCTATACCACCGGCGCGTTTATTTCCTTGGCTATATGCGGTAATCGTTGCGCAGCTGATACCGTTATAACTTTGTAGCTGCCGCAGCGGGGGGCTGTACTCGAACTCGTTGTGGTGAGCGTACGAAGCGTGTCACCGTGGAATGAGACTCCATTGCGCTGTGGCTGCTGATTTTTGAGGAATAGTAATAATAATAACCACTTCCTACGATCTGATTGTTCGAAGCTCTGCACCCATGACATTTTTACTTTACAGCGGTTTTGCCATTGACGGGTAGTTTTTTGGCAGAGCCCTTGCGACGAGCTTGCGTTATCGCGAGTGTCACTAAGCGAATATCGTGGATGGTTATTGTTTCGAGTCTTTTCCTCGTAAAATCGTCGTTACATCGAATGATCGATCGAAAGGTCGAACGAGCGCCGGAGTCGGGGAACGATTGCGTCTCGGCGAGATAAAACGGCGCACGAGTCCCAGGAGCGGTGGAAAGAAAAAGAGGAGACTGGGGCTCGTTTGTCTCGCTCCCTTCCTGGCTTTACTCTCTCTTGAGCAGCGAGGAGGAGTCTCCGGCGTTCGTTTACTCCCCTTGCTTCCGAGATGCCGATATCATTTTCCACTTCTCTCTCGGTAATTGATTTTCTCCGGGGCCATTCAGCCACCAGGACTGCCTGTGCACGTACACACACACACACACACACACACACAGTGCACTCGAACGAGAGTACCCGAGTTTCCCTCTGTTCGGTACGTCGAGAGATGCCGTGTCTGCATCTGATGGAAGAATCACGATCGCGCGAATGGAAAAACAGCGACTGCCAGCCGTTTTATTAAAAATAATAAGAGATGCGCGTTTCTATGTCTCGATTGGGAAATCTGCGCTTGCCGTATTGCTGTGGATTCAAAACATTGGAGTTTTACGATGCTTTTTCGAACAAAAAATTTATCTCCTGATTGATGAGATCGACTTGAGCGATGTTTTTCTGGAACAATACGAAAAAGCTGTACAGTACGAAATACTTTGGTTACGTATCGTACGAGTAAGTTTATGCCATTGGCGGGATGTTTAGTCTGTGGACCTTTTTGTATACGTATTTTTTTTTTTTTACTGTCAGTTTATTCATTGAATCGTTGTTTATACAGCTGTGATGACATTTTTGAACTTAACACTCTTGGATCTTGGAAATTCGGTAATACGATGGCTTTTGAAAATGTACTTTTTCTTCGAGTTTAACAATAACGTACGACGATTTTCCGTTCGACTGAATTTTTATTCGCGTTTTCGAAAATTTACAATTCTCGTCGCGGTCGTCAAATGCATACTTACTTTTCAATAGAGCGCATTACGAACAAAATTCTCATGCACTCGAGACTTCTAACATACACGTACATATATTATACATGCGCTCTCTATCTTTCTCCGTCGGCAGTCACCCAGATTATTCTGATCGATCGCGCGAGAGAGTGCATGTACGAGCTCGAATCGCATGTAATTGTACTCTTCGTGCGAAGATTTTTCCTGTCGTGTATCCTCTATAAGCACTTTTTTTTTATTTCCACGTTTTTTACACACGATGTTTACTACGATTTCATCCATATGAAGTGTTGAGGTGACAGTAAAATTATTTTAAGTTATACAAATGGAAATACAAACTTCCACGTTACTTGCATACCCATTTAACTTCAATCCCTTTGCTTTGTCACTGGTAAGTCGACAGTACATGTAATGGATTGGTAAACAACTAAAAAAGTAATGATATGCTTTGATTCGCTACGTAGACTGAACCCCATAGGTGTTACAACTATTCCCATCATACATTAAAATTAAACTAAAATTATTGAACTATTTCATACTGTATTCTGTAACAATGAAAGTGTAAGCTTTTAAAGTAAACACAAGACCGATATGATCAATCGAAAAAAAACTAATCTGCACTCTTGAAAGTATAATCGAACTATACCACCAGCAAAATAAATAAAATCTAGAGCCTCAGTAAAATTTATTAGGACATTATGCATCGAGTGCGTAAACAAAAGTGTTGATATTGTCCCCCAACCAAGACAATCTTGCACACGAATGGGATATGGCCACCATCAGCCAAAGTATGAGAAATTATCAACATCAGAGCATAGATTACAGTTCACAAATACTAATCAATTTATATGTGATAATATATAGTGATACAATATTGTGGTACGAGCATTTCACCATTTATATTATGTCTGACTATAATCAAACTATACTACTTTTACTAGCTAAATCAACCAAATAAAGAAAATGTAATGAAAAACAGTTTTATTGGTGTCCAAAAACATTAATAATATGAAGAGCATACATACGATATAAAATCTTTAAAAAAAAAAAAGCCTTACGCTAGTTTATCACATAAACATTGAGTTCTCCGTCACGGTATACGACCAAAAACTTTATCCCCCTCCGTTTTCCGGTACGCCCATCTACTCTTTCTTTCGATCATACTTCCAAACAACTGGTTTTTCACTGCTTCTACAAGGTACGTAAGCAATGCGTATACACACGCGTGTCACACGAGAGCTAACTTCGCGTAACTTTCAAATTTATTTCGTTTCACGTGCTTCGTTTTTTTTGTTCTTCCGTCAGTTACTTTTTTCTCTCTCCCTCTCTCTTCTTTTTACTCTTTCTTTCTTTGTTTTTTAGGCACATATGCACGCGTGTGTGTTCCTCGAGTTCGTACACAACGCAGTGTTTCGCGTATTCCGTCGACACGTACATAATCTCGACTCGGTCACATGGCGTATTCATGGAAAAGTTCTTTCAAAATATTCACGCGACCTATTTCCCCTCCCCCAAAACATCTGCACTGTCTATCTCCTTACCAGCGTAGTAGCGTGGGGGCACGCGTGCCAAATTTCAATCCGTCCTCTCGCTTCTTCATTCCCCCCAACAAGTAAAGTTCGCGCGTTGTTTCCCGCGAGAAGTAAAACTTCCGTATTCGCGCCAGTGGAAAACCTCCGCCCATTGAGTATACGCGCGGTTTAAGTAGATCGACACAAAACGGGTGGACGAACAGCACGGGCGGGATGATTCTCGGTGAGGGAATTTCGCGCGGTTTGGCATTTCACGCTTACGTCCTTACTAGAGCGTACCCGAGGGCGCCTGTGGATTTTCGAGAGTTTCACTGCGTGGCCAATTTAGAGGTTTTGATGTTCACCGTACCGATTGTGGTGGCGTGGGGTCGAGTTATGTTATTGATCTGCGATGTCTGCCGACAGTGATTGTGGTTGCAGCTTTTGATTCCATGGAATATCATCTCGCCGTGATGTTACGTTGACAGGGACGCTCGTACCTACGCAGGAATGAGCACCAACACGATAGTTTGACCTGCTCTTGGCAGTTTTATTGTCTTCCTGAACATGATTAACATGAATGAATGAAAGGGTATCAGCTCGTACCTATGCCAAAAACTCGACCGATCGAGTTTCCTCGTCAGCCAGACGTGGTACGTGGACAAAAGGAAAGAGGTCCAACTGTTGTGCTCATCATTGACCTACTGGTGATGCAATAGGCAGGAGATAAAGAGCGAGGGAGTAATTGTACTGTACCCCTGTTGACGGTATCTTATCACTGCTAGCTTTTCCGTCCGCAACGTGGGGGAAATGGAAAAGACAAAAAACAATGAACAAAACGACAACAATTCTCTAGCTGTGCTGGATTTGTGAGCAAATAGCACTGGTCTATTTTTTTTTGTTTATCCTCATCATGAGAGTGAACTCGTAAACGCCAATGTAGCGCATACAGGGGCTAATGGTTGGGGGGGGGGGGGTACGTTTGATGGACTCTGAGCTCTTGAAAATGTATTTTTAAAGCGCAAAAGTGTAGCTCGAAGTAAAATAGGGGCACGGTTGGGCAAAGGGACGATACGGGCCGACGATGATTTAAAAAATGTCGGGGGCCAAGTGATACTGCTGTCGCAGTGAAAAAGTTTTGATGAACGTTGAATTGAGTTTCGAAATGGATACGTAGGTAGTTATCGATTTTCCGCTGAAATAGTCCGCGCGAAAACAGTTGGCCGATCGGTTATCCAAGTTTTGCCGTTAAAATTTATAGTTTCTCATCGCAAAGTGGTCACCATGGCTGAAGCGCGGTATATATGTGTATATTTGCCAAGGGAACTTTTTAATAAATAACGATGAAAACGTAAAAAAAAAAAAAAAAAAAAAAAAAACACCGATACATCCTCGATCCACTCGAAACACACGTAGCAATAATCACGACTAATGCGTGACAAATCGAACGTGCACCGTCCGAATGGAACGTACAAAGTTGAATGAGAGGACCGAAACTTTTGCAACCCCGTCGAATGAGCTACTTAACGCGCGACGGAGTACAGAGCGAGCACCCCCTTTCCCACTCCAAGTGCAGAGAGAGCTTGTGGCTGCT